CGATTCCTCTTGCGCTCACGCTTAAACTCTTTATCCGCGACAACAGCCGCTTTCCGAGCAGAAAGTCGATGCGTAGTTCTCTTTATTGGTGCGGGAACAGAGCGCGGAATACGAGGAATCCTATAAGGTGCGCAACTCGAGGACGGACCCGGAAGCGCGAGCCGAGGTGAAGGTTGATCCTCAGGCTCAAGCACCTCAACGGATACGACCTCCGATGTCCGAACCGTTCGACCGGTGACCAGCTTCCCAGGCGCAGAGCGCACCGGTACTAATTCCAGATCTAACACAACCCCGTAAGAACAGGTATTCACAATAAGGAATATGAAGATAATCGTCAGTAACAGATTTTGGAATTATTGCTCTTAAGAACCACCAAAACGTGCAAAGACAATCACTTAGATGTGTAGGAAATGGAAAGAAACTCAAAACTTACTTTGCATGAGAGAACGAAGAAAAACCAAATGCGAGATTGACGACGACGGCGGTAGCGGGAGCGGAAACGAAGACGAAGACCAAAGACAGAGACAGCAGCAAGAACCACAGCAAGAACAAAAGCCAAACCAAGAACGAAGACAACGAAGACAGCGGGGGCGATGGCCAAAACCAATTCGCACAAGAGAGCAAGAACGACAGCAGCAGCGAAAACCAAAACCAAGAACGACTGCAAGAACGAGAGCGACAACGACAGCGAGAAGACCAGTGGAAAGAACGACGAGAAACGGCAGCGAAAACGACAGCGACAACGACGCCAGAAACAACGGAACGAGAACGACAGACTCATGCAGTGAAACGACAGCGAGGGACTGGGCCCATAACCTAATGGTAGGTTCGGAGGGGCAAGGGAAAGAAGGAAGGCAGGTTGATGTGTGTGAGTGAAGGAGTTGGTGCCGAGGTTTACTTTGAAGCCGTTTTCCTGCGATACTTATACACTTCGAGTGCTACACTATCGCTCTACTCCGACTCCCAGTAAACCATACTCTACTATGCGCGACCAAGCGCAGTCCTCTTGTGGCCCGACCATACTGTTCGATTTCCACCTTACGAATCGATTCGTAACTATTAGCTCACAACTATTTCTACACATTCCAAATGACTGTAAACCATGGCCCTATGCATGCAACTGTTTCACACCTTACTAATCTGCATCCAGTCATGCCAGACTTCATTGTTGTGCAACGAACAACTTGGCACTTGTCTATTTCCAACAACGCAAACGTCTTTCATATCACAATCGCCATACGTATCCTTGTTTCTCACCTTACTAATTTCGCCAAGCACTGTCAGACAGTTATGGCAAGTTATAACAATGTGCATCCAGACTTTCTACACAACTCACATGAGAATACATGTAAATCACACGAGTACTGTCATGAACTTGCATCCAACGGCGCACCATGACGAGAGCACAGTGCAACGGCGCCTGCTCACGCAGACTCGCATACAGCGTGACGCGTACACAGAATAATCGCACAACTGTATTCCTCTCGCGAGAAGTACTTGTTGTACTTTTGATTCACATGTACTGTACTCGGACACGCGCAGGATCGCAAACAGTCTGACACTGTAAAACTGTAAACCCTCATGTGCATACACCTGGATGCGTGTATATGTGTACGTACACGAATTCACCTGGCGACGTGTACATGTGTACACGGCATACATGTGTCCCGCCCGCGGACCCCATGCAATTACCCATTACAACCATGGCAAACCACTTGAAACCCCCAAAACAACGTAATTATGGCATATACAGGCCATTTAAAGTACATCACAAGGCCAATGACACACACGTGGACACCGCTCGACCAATAGATTTGCAGCATTAGACCTGAGGGCCAATAGAATTGCAGTATTTCCTGTGTAGTCTATAGTGCTACGGGCCAAGGTTCCACTTGGCAAAACTATGCAAATTTGCATGACCCTCCGAGAGGCCACTTTCGTCCCCAGAACCCCAAAATCTGGGATTTTACACCTGTCATGTCGTGATATGGGTAAGAGCGCCCGGACCGTGCAGTCATGTACACGTGTCACTCGATTTTGACCTTTTCAGATAACAGCATGTGGTCGCACATTTTCAATAGGATGAAGTCAACTCCAAATGTTGGCCATTTGCGAGTATTTGGGTCAAAGTGTTGGTATACATTACCCAAATTAGAGCTCCGTAAGCTTGACTTGCGAGCGCGTGAAGCGATGTTTCTCGGCTATTCGCAATGCAGTAAAGCATACAAACTTTGGGACGGAGAGTTGAGTAAAGTTGTTGTTTCACGAGATGCCAAGTTTGATGAATCGACATGTGGGATGCATGACATTCCTGCACATGAAAAAGATTCAATCAGCTCTGACGTTGGCGTTGTATTGCTCGGTGGCGACAATGAGAATGAAGCCGATACCCCAAATACTAATGAGGTTGGGTCGGAAGAGGATGAAATTTCAGGGGAGGTTATTGAAAACGAGGACACTCACTCTGTAGGTGAGAATGATGAAGATGATGTATCACCTCCCGTCGAAACTCCGAATGTCACCCCTCCAACTCCGACTCCAGCTGTACGAAGATCGTCTCGAATCAGTAGACCTCCCGGATCATGGTGGAGGAGCAACTTTGCAGCTGCTCTTCTTTCACATGCGCATGTCGCTATTGAAGGTCCCAAGACTTTCAAACAAGCAACCCACGGTCCTAGAGCTGCATTCTGGCAAACCGGCATTGACAAAGAACTTGCATCACAGACTAAGAATCAGACCTGGAAACTTGTTCCTCGATCTGAGGCGTCAAACATCTTGACATCTCGATGGGTTTTCAATGTCAAGCAGCTGCCTGATGCAAATGGCAATATAGTTGAAAGTGCAAAAGCCAGACTTGTTGCCCGTGGATTCCAGCAAGTGCAGGGTCTTGACTATACTGAGACATATGCCCCTGTCATAAAGTTTACGACTATTCGTCTACTTCTTGCCTTAGTTGCTCATTACGACCTCGAACTTCATCAGATGGATGTCGTGACTGCGTTTTTGAACGGCGACTTGGATGAAGACATCTACATGGAGCAACCCGAAGGCTGCGTTGACAAAAGCAAAAGTGATCACGTGTGTAAACTTTTGAAAGCACTTTACGGTCTTAAACAAGCACCTCGTCAATGGCATACCAAAGTGGATGATTTCTTACTTTGTGAATTGGGATTTGAGACTTCACGTAGTGATCCGTGCCTCTACATTAAACGCATTGGTAACACTATCATGCTAATTGCACTTTATGTCGATGACTTGTTGCTCGCTGGTAGTGATATCCATGCCATCAAATGGATGAAGGGGGAGCTTAACAAACGGTTTGAGATGAAAGACCTTAGTGAGGCAAAAGTCTGCATTGGTCTTGAGATTCAAAGAGATCGCACTATCAAGACATTGAGTCTCACTCAAACTAAGTATGCATTAAATGTGCTTGACCGTTTTAAAATGTCGACTTGTAACCCTTCTCTGACTCCAATGTAACAAGGTCGCAAAACCACGAATTCTATCGAAAACGACTCCGAAACAAAGGCACCGTATCGTGAGGCAGTCGGTTGCCTTATGTACTTGATGGTTGGCACTCGTCCAGACTTGGCATACGCCATTGGAAAGCTTTCCCAACATTCTGCCAACCCATGTGAGTCACACTGGGCAGGTGTAAAACGAGTAATGCGATACGTGCAAGGGACTCGAAACTTAGGAATCGTGTTTGACAATAAATCCAAATCGCCGGAGTTGCTCCGTTTCAGTGATGCTGACTGAGCCGGTTGTTCAGACTCTCGCAAGTCGACCAGCGGATATGTTTTCAAGTTCTGTGGTGGAGCTATCAGTTGGAGTTCCCGGAAACAGACTGTGGTTGCGACTTCGACGTGTGAAGCTGAGTACATTGCACTATGTGAAGCGTGTAAGGAGGCGACCTGGTTGCGTCAAGTTGTTGCTGATGTCCTCGGACTTGATTCTGATCCCACGATCATGATGGGGTGTGACAATGCAGGGACGATTTCGTTTGCACAGAATGAATCGATCAACCGTCGCAACAAACATGTTGATGTAAAATACCACTACGTACGAGATGCTATTAAGAGAAACATTGTGTATTTGTCGCATTGTCCGACCACTTCGATGCCTGCCGATATCTTAACCAAAGCACTTGGGCGAATTCTATTCCAGAAGTTTGTAGAACTTCTGGAGCTTGCAGTGTCCAGTAAAAGCATGTGATCGACGGGGAGTGTTGAAAATCTTCAACCACATGCTAAGCTCCGAGCCTGACAGATATTACACGTTTACGTCGACGAAACCTAAAATGCTTGCAAGAGCATTCTCAGGATGTTTGGTCTTCAAAGTGGACACGTTTCATATTTGTACACGGTTGCACTTTCCTATTATTTCCGAGCATGTTTCCATTTTGGTGTTGACATGTGTAAGTTATGTACCTCGTGGCACTCTACAGTACATTCTGAACATGTTTCATTTTTCTCGATTTGACACGTGTGTGACACGTATGACATTTGTCCTACACGTGTGTGACACGTATGACATTTGTCCTACACGTGTGTGACACGTATGACGTATGTGCCACAGTGGTTATTAATCGTAGTGTAAAATCTGTAATCTACAGTACAGTACATTCAGATATTATTGACTCTCAAACGGTCCCAAATTATTAGCAAGAGAGAGTGCAAGAAGGAGAGTCATTTGATTATCAACGGAGAGTGGAAGTAGGAGAGTCACTTGATTATCAACCGAGAGTGCAAGAAGGAGAGTCATTTGATTATCAACGGAGAGTGGAAGTAGGAGAGTCACTTGATTATCAACCGAGAGTGCAACAGTAAGAGTCACTTGATTATCAACGAGTGCAAGAAGGAGAGTCACGTGACCAGCCCTAATGGCTCGTAGTGTATGTAGTTCGAAGAGTATAAGTAGCGCCAATAGTTGGCGACCAAGAGTAAAATGGCATCAACTTCTTTTCCCGTCAACCACCAGCAACCTTCAACCATCTTTCTTCAGTCTGCCCCGCTGACCTTTCTATAAGATTTGCCTCCCGTGGACTCGTCAAAAGTAACATCTCTGGATACGATCACTTTGTGCAAATCACCATCCCACAACTTGTAAGCTTTCGTATTTTCAGCATACCCCAGAAACATTGCCTTCTTTGCACGGGCGTCAAGTTTCTGGATGTTGTGTTTTGGTAATGTATACCAACACTTTGAACCGAAAACACGCAAATGACCAACATTTGGCACAGATTTCATCCATAAGGGGTGGGGGGTCATCTTGGGGGGAATGGCACGTGACGTGACTCGATTTCGAACGTACACTGCATTGGCAAGTGCTTCTGCCCAGAACCCCTTCGTAACTTTCTTGTGCGCTAGCATGGAGCGCACCAAGTTTACCAAAGTTCTGTTCAGTCGCTCGGCGACGCCATTTTGCTCCGGTGTGTATGCGGTCTTCATTTGATGCTGAGTACCATTTGCAATCAGAAAAGACTTAGACTCCGTGGACAGATACTCACCACCTCGATCGGTGCGAAGCACTTTGATCTTGCGACCAGTGTGAGTCTGAGCAAGTTGTGCAAACATTTTGTATCGTTCAAATGCTTCTGATTTATGGTGCATAGGGTACACTACTGACCAGTTTGAGTGATCATCTATGAAGGTAATGAAGTACTTGGCACCACCAATGGACTGCACCTCTAAGGGGCCACAAACATCAGAGTGAACTAAGTCTAGACAGAAGTATGCCCGCCTCGAGGACCGCTCTTTTGGGATCACAGATCGAGTGGCTTTGCCGTAGACGCACGCAGAACATTTTTCAGAGATGCAATCATTGTCAGTATTGTTGATTTTGTTAGCCTCATTACCAAGTAGTTTGACTCCACTTACCACATTGTCACGAATCATCGAAGCAATACCTTGAGAATGCACATGTGCAAAGCGCTCATGCCACGTTTGCAGGGTGGCAGCATGTGCAGATCCGATGTCACTGACGATGTCGAGAACGTAAAGTTCTCCAACCAATGTCGCAGTCGCCACTACAGTTGAGCCTCGTCTGATCATGCATTTTCCATTTTCGAACCCAACTTTTAGTCCAAGTTCAGTCATTCGACTGACAGAGAGCAGAGAGAACGCAAAGTCCGGAACGTGCAATACATCCGTCAACTTGCACGGTTCGATGCGGCCATTCACATTTAACTTCAAGTGAACGTCACCACGGCCGGCAACCTTTGCACTAGCCTTGGTTCCCATCTGAACAGAGGCGGATTCAAGTGGCTCATACGTTGCAAACAAAGATCTATGTAATATGAGCTGTAAAAGCTGAATCTACGAGCCACGAAGGCAACATCTCCGTATCGTTCGTGTGCGAAGCTTTCGACATCAGACATGTGAAGTCGACGCTGTTTACAACCATGTCCGGATCAGGTTTCTGTGTGACAAATGCAGATTGTTTCCGCTGAGACATACGCGGTTTATATCCGCTAGGAGGAGCCGGGCGACGCCCATTCAAATCCTTTACCCAGCAGCGGGTTGCCGTATGGCCTGTATGACCGCAGTTCGTGCATTTGTAATCGTTTATGTCCCGATTGTTCGGGGCACGATTAACCAGAGCCGATGTCTGTGAGGAGCTAGACTTCATGTTTGCTCGTTGCTCTTCCTGCAGCAGACGACTTTTCACAAAGTCCAAACTGAATATCTTTTCCTCATTACCGAGAGCATCAAGTGCAACGATGAGAGCCTCGAAACGGGCAGGCAGACCGTTGAGCACTGCCATGGCCATCTCCTTGTGATCGATGTTTACGCTCATTGACTTGAGGATGGCTGCCAGCTGCTTGACACGATTGATGTATGCAAGCACCTTTTCACCGGAAAGCATCTTCACAGTGTAGAACTCACGACGTGCAGCTGGTTTGTTCAGCAAAGTGTGCCTCTCAAACACGTTGACAATAGCTTCCCACATCTCATGAGCAGTATCAACATCACGTACATGCTCAAGATGCTCATCTGATAGGGAGAGACCAATCAGTGCTTTAGCTTTACTGTCACCTCTGATCCACTTCTTACGCTCTTCCGCACGTTCCTCACTTGGAACTCTTCCCTCAACGATGTATTGGTCAACATCACGTAGAGCAAGCAGAAGTTGTATTTTCTGCTTCCACACGTAGAAGTTGGAGTCCGTCAGTTTGTCGATTTTGATGGATCCTCCTCCTCCTTGATCTTCCATTTTAGTGCAAATAAACTTCAAGTACTCGAAGATCCGTTCGGGGATCCCAAGCCGTTAACCGATAGTCAACACAATGGCAAGCCCACCCGTCTAAGAAATTCGATATGATTACTATGAAGTTGTACTAGGAGAAATTTGCGAACAGATATGTGAATTTATTTGGATGGAATCCCTAACTATTCTGTTCACAAACTACCTTTAAGTGTGCCGCACCGTTCTCGTGGCACTTCAGGTGCCCGTGAGACTCAAAGACGCGATTGCAAGGGATACAACGCGGAGTCTCCTTAGCGTTGGCAACTTGAATGCGATGAGACCTAGACTGAATGTGGTCGTAAAAGGCCTTCGCACTATTGCCACTAACGCCGCACACTTTACAATACCGCTTATACCGCGGGCACACCTTACGATTCCTCTTGCGCTCACGCTTAAACTCTTTATCCGCGAGAACAGCCGCTTTCGGAGCAGAAAGTCGATGCGTAGTTCTCTTTATTGGTGCAGGAACAGAGCGTGGAATACGAGGAATCCTATAAGGTGCGCAACTCGACGACGGACCCGGAAGCGCGAGCCGAGGTGAAGGTTGATCCTCAGGCTCAAGCACCTCAACGGATACGACCTCCGATGTCCGAACCGTTCGACCGGTGACCAGCTTCCCAGGCGCAGAGCGCACCGGTACTAATTCCAGATCTAACACAACCCCGTAAGAACAGGTATTCACAATAAGGAATATGAAGATAATCGTCAGTAACAGATTTTGGAATTATTGCTCTTAAGAACCACCAAAACGTGCAAAGACAATCACTTAGATGTGTAGGAAATGGAAAGAAACTCAAAACTTACTTTGCATGAGAGAACGAAGAAAAACCAAATGCGAGATTGACGCCGACGGCGGTAGCGGGAGCGGAAACGAAGACGAAGACGAAGACCAAAGACAGAGACAGCAGCAAAGAACGACAGCAAGAACAAAAGCCAAATCAAGAACGAAGACAACGAAGACAGCGGGGGCGATGACCAAAACCAATTCACACAAGAGAGCAAGAACGACAGCAGCAGCGAAAACCAAAACCAAGAACGACGGCAAGAACGAGAGCGACAACGACAGCGAGGAGACCAGCGGAAAGAACGACGAGAAACGGCAGCGAAAACGACAGCGACAACGACGGCAGAAACAACGGAACGAGAACGACAGACTCATGCAGTGAAACGACAGCAAGGGACTGGGCTCATAACCTAATTGTAGGTTCGGAGGGGCAAGGGAAAGAAGGAGGGCAGGTTGATGTGGGTGAGTGAAGGAGTTGGTGCCGAGGTTTACTTGGAGCCGTCTTTCGGCGATACTTACACACTTTGAGTGTTACACTATCCCATTACTTTGGCACCTGGTAAACCATACTCACCATATGCGCGACCAAACGCGGTCCTCTTCTGGCACGTCCACATTGTTCTATTTCCACCTTACGAATTGACTATTGACTATCAGTGCACAACAGTTTCTACACATTTCGAGTGACTGTAAACCATGGCCCTATGCATGCCATCGTTTCAGACCTTACTAATCTGCATCCAGACATGACAGAATATATTCTTGCACAATGAACAACTTGGCATCTCTCTATTTCCAACAACGCAAAGTCCTGTCATATCTCAGTCCCTATACATGCCCTTGTTTCGTACCTTACTAATTTCGGTACACACTGCCAGACAACTATGACGGGTAGCAACAATGTGCATCCAGACTTTCTACACATCTCACGTGATATCCGATGTGAATCACACCAGTACTGTCATCAACTTGCATCCAACGGCGCACCATGACGAGAGCACAGTACAACGTCGCATGCTGACGAGAGTGTATTACAACGGCGCATGCTGATGCAAGGGTCGCACACAGCGTGACGCGCACACTGAATACTCACGTAAGTACATGTCTCTTGTGAGAAATACTTGTTGTACTTTTAATTCACATGTACTGTGCTCGGACACGCGCCGGACCGTATGTAGGCGACGTGTACAAGTGTACGTACACGCAGCAACCTGGCGATGTGTACATGTGTACACCGCACACAAGTGTCCAGCAAAAAGGCTACACGTAATTACCCATTACAACCATGGTGAACAACTTGAAACCCCCGAAATGATGTAATTAAACCGTATACCGATCATTCAAGATATATCACCAGCATGACTGCATATAAGTGGACAATAACAGACCAATAGAATTGCAGCATTCGAACCGACACCCAATAGATTTGCAGTATTGCCTGTGTAGCCCTATAACGGTTTGGGCCAAATGCAAATTTTCGGCATTTATGCAAATTTGCATAACCCTCCAAAAGTCCACTTTCGTCCCCAGAACCCCAAAATCTGAGAATTTACACGTGTCATGTGGTGATATGGGGTGAGGGTCCGGACCGTCGAGTCATGTACAGGTGTCGCTCGATTTTGCACTTTCCAGAAAACAGCATGTGGTCGCACATTTTCAATACCCAGAACCCCAAAATCTGAGAATTTACAAGTGTCATGTGGTGATATGGGGTGAGGGTCCGAACCGGTGAGTCATGTACACGTGTCACTCGATTTTGCACTTTTCAGATAACAGCATGTGGTCGCACATTTTCAATACCTCCTCCCCTCGATCACATGCTTTGGGCAGCTTCGCACTCGGAAAGCCCAACCATGCCCACGAACTTTTCAAACAGCACGCGACCAAATGGTTTGGTCAGCATATCAGCTGGCATTTCTGTTGTGGGACAATGGAACAATGTGACCAGTTTTCGCTGCAACGCATCTCGAACAAAATGATACGTAATATCAATCTGCTTGTTCCAACGATTTGTAGATTCGTTCTGAGCAAACGCAATCGTACCAGCGTTGTCACATCTACCGCGAATTGTTGGATCCGAATTCGCACCAAGTACATCGGCATGGAAGTGTCGAAGCCACGCCGCCTCTTTGCATGCTTCACTGAGTGCGATGTATTCTGCCTCACAAGTAGACTTTGCAACTACTGTTTGTTTCCGGGAAGCCCAACTGATAGGCCCATCACAAAGCTTGAACACGTACCCACTCGTTGATTTTCGTGATTCAAGGCATCCACCCCAATCTGCGTCGCTATACCCATGAAGTTCCGTACCAAGATCATCTTTACCAAACACTATTCCAAGATGCTGAGACCCGCGCAAGTATCTCAAAACACGTTTCACACCTGTCCAATGCGACTCGTAGGGCTCGGCACAGTGTTGAGATAACTTTCCAATGGCAAACGCAATATCGAGGCGGGTCCCGACCATTAGGAACATTACACATCCAATGGCCTGACGATATGGTTCAAAGCATGGGTTGTCATCAGTGCCACTTTCAGCAACTTGCATTGTGACATGTCGACACTGTTCCATCGGAGTAATGCAAGGATTGCATGCCAACATTTTGAACTGTTTCAGTAGTGCTTGGGCATACTTCGACTGTGTGACGGTCAGGACGTGTTTAGAACGTATACGGTCGATTTCTAGACCAATACAAGTCTTCGCTTCGCCAAGGTCTTTCATATCGAATCGTTTGTTGAGTTCATTTTTCATCCATAATATGGCCTCCAAGTCACTTCCAGCTAGCAGCAGATCGTCCACTTACAACGCGATAATCATGATGACATTGCCTTGACGTCGAATGTAAAGATATGGGTCGCTGCGTGTAGTGTTGAAACCAAGTTCAGTGACCAGAAACTCATCGATCTTACTATGCCATTGGCGATGGGCTTGCTTAAGACCATAGATTGCTTTCAAAAGTTTACACACCGAATCAGGTTTGACTTTGTCGATGCATCCTTCAGGTTGCTCCATGTAGATTTCTTCGTGAAGTTCACCGTTGAGGAAGGCAGTCATCACGTCCATCTGATGCAGCTCAAGGTCAAAGTGCGCAACCAGTGCCAGCAGCAGACGGATAGTTGTGAACTTGATGACAGGGGCGAAAGTTTCATTGTAATCGATGCCTTCTACTTGTTGAAAGCCTCGTGCCACAAGACGTCCCTTTGCAGTTTCGACCAATTTTCCGGACTCGTCACGAAGTTGCTTCACTCCACAGGAAGGTCAAATTTATGATAAATTTAATAAAAGCAATGATGTGGCTATTTTTGGGGCCAAAAAATGCTGGATTTTTGGCAGCAATGAACGGTGGTCCGTGCGTCATTGGTTCCCGAGCAGCAATCTTTTGCCAAATTTGAAACCGTTCTCATTCAGCACGGGGATGAGGGGCGTGTCTGGTTCCGGGCAGTGACTGAACCAGAATGTTTTGCTGGAGTGCCAGAGTTTTAACGGAAACGTTTTTTTGATACCTCGATGTAGCAAAGTGATGTGCTATTTCGCTGCCTAAAAACGCAGCGCCTGGCCGTGATATCTTTAACCTTCATGTGATCAAACCAGAATAAGCTCATGCTTACCTGCGCTAGTACCAGACGCGTGCTTGGACCCTTTCACGTTTTACCAATCCATCGAATCCTCTCTCCCCATCTGTTTCCCTTTCCTTCCCGACTTTGCTCATCCTGTGTTCCTACTGAGGCGCCATGACCCCGCGAAGAAGGTCTGGGAAGAAACCCGCTGCGTCAGGCAATCAGCGAGGCCGCTCATCTGGAAAGTCTAACAGCCGAGCGCCTGGAGCCCAGGTTCCCGCGGAACGCCGGTCGTCTCCTCGTGTTGCGGCCACTGCTACTCCCGCGGCAGCTAGACAGGAAACCCGTCGGGTTTCAAGTAATACGGTCAGGACGCCCCTGTAGCATAAACACCCCCAGCGATAGGGGTGTATGCGCAGTTCGACCGAGACCCTTGTCGATCGGGAAGACGGGGGTGAAGCGGGACACCAGCTAACGGCACTGGGCAGCGGGCCCGGGTAGCGTGGTAGAGCGGAAACGGGGAGGACGCCGGTACGCGCGAGCAGTTCGACGCCTCGACGCCCCGGCGCGGTACTGGGTAACGATCCAGTACCGACGGGCGGAGGCGGAGCCGGCTCGTGGGCGT